GACCGCTCTTTAGAAGGCCAAATACTGAAGATGAAACTCAAATACTTCGGCCACCTAGTGAGAAGGAAGGACTCCCTGGAGAAGAGCCTAATGCTGGGAACAATTGATGGCAAAAGAAGAAGGGGACGGCAGAGGATGAGGTGGCTGGATGGAGCCACTGAAGCAGTTGGCGTGAGCTTAAGTGGACTCTGGGGGATGGTGGAGGACAGGATGGCCTGGAGGGAGGTTGTCCATGGGGTCGTGATGGGTCGGACATGACTTCGTGACTAACAACAACAACGACAACAAAAGACATTCAGGCCGGCTTTGGGTGGCCAGGTTGGGAGAGGACACTGTTCATATTTTATCTACCCCTAGAACGGCGGGAGAAATGGATGACAGCAACCAGTGAGGCCTTCTGCTGCACCAGTATCACAATGAAAGTGCAACCAAAGCCTCGGCACACGTAACTTGCCTTCTGTCCTCAGAATGGTCTGCCATGTCTTCTGCATGAATCAGGTTTCCTACTGCACCTTCTCTTTTTACTAGAAAAACCAAGACCCTGAGAAATAGACTTTATGCATGGTCCCCATCTCCTAACAGTAACAGTGCTCAGAAGTAGCTCGGTCTCAAGCCAGGCTGGCCTAGGATAATCGCCAATGTCTGCAGGCTGCTGTACAAAAGGGGAGACACTCCTCCTCACCTTTTCCCGAGTTCGCTGCGGCCTGTTGTTCCAGATGGAAGGATCCTCTTCTCCTTTGGGACCTGCCGAGAATGGGGGGAATATCAGTGCTCCATACGTCAGGTGTAGCGTTGCACTATCAAGATCTGTTGTCTGCTTGTTGGAGGGACTATGTTTTCCTTTCCTGCTCCTCCTCATTGCCAGTGCCCACTATAATTTACACACACACAGAGCAACTCCTAGCACTCATTCTCAAGCCAGACGTGTGTGAACAAAAGGCAGTCAGATAGCTGTTTTTATATCAACATGGTCAGGGAGCTAGTTGTAGAAAACCACACATCAGCCAGGTTTGCAGCTAACACCAACCCAAAGTATAGGTTGAGGACAGGTTGTTATGGCTTATCATTACTTGTGAACACTGCAGTATGGTTTAACAATGGGTTGTTAACCACAGTCAACCCAGGAGAAGAAACCATGGTGTATTGCTGGGTTTTGAACTTTGAGTTATCCATGCTTAATAATAATGGTGTGCAAATAACGACAATCCATGATCTAATGATAATGCATATACCAGGTTGTTGTTACATGTGAACCAGGTCACCTTTGCCTGAGGAGGGAAGGTGCCTTTATTCATATCCCTTGGCAGGATTTTACAAACAACCTTAGTAGCTTGGGATAAAGGGACTCACTTGGGAGTAATTTGGCCCACATTCACTGCCTTCTAGCTGGTGAAACACAGAGTGGCAGCAAATGTTATGCCATTGCATGGCCTGAAGAAGCTGTTATGTCGACCGCTCTCCGTACCATGTAATAGTCATAGAGGAGACTTAGGGCGGCCACGCCGTCGTCATCCCCATTAACCCTCATCATAGCCTTGGTGGCGGCTGTCAGCGGGTTCTCCAGGTAGCTCTTCCAAGCCTCATCTTCATTCACATAGGAGTATTTCTGGAACCCCATTCCGTCATTCTTCCGAAGGTGCACAGACCTGAAACTGAGTGGAAAGAGGAAGGAGAAATATTGATTTCCAAGAAGTTTCCAGGGGAGGTTTAGTCAGGGGTGCTCTTCTGTTGTGCTGTGTCTGAGCACGCACTGGGCATCTCTGTCCGAAAGCCAAAGAGTGAAATGTGCTGGTGAAAGGAGTAGCCACGTTAGGCTGTCCGGTTGTCCTCTTTTACACAGGGTCGTCCTCTGTTTGAAGGGGATTCCTGCCTAATTCTGGTTTAAAGGTAAAGAACCCTAAGGAGAAGTGCCCATCCAAACTCAGCATCAAACTGGCAGGCATCCAAATCATCTGGTCCTAGCGTTCCACAAAATGATGAGATAGGAGGCATCCCTTTTTAAGTTGTAATCATTTCAATAACAACTTATAACAAGTAATAGCAACTTTCTAATAATAACTTTGCTTCCATATATGTGAGTTGGCACAGGCAAACGGGAATTCTATTTTAGTGATTTGCTGGTAGCTAGAACAGGTTCTCAATGCTGAGTTCTCACCTCCTCCTTTTCGTTGTCTTTTCTGCATTTCCTGGCAGTCCCAGATTATTCCATCTGTTGCTTTTTAACCTATAATCCTGAG